GGTTGGGACAGTTTCATAGCTTATGCAGGCCAGTTGTATATCCTGCAGAACAGCTGCAATAACCTCTGACTAATTGTCTTGACTAAAGAGTACCTGCTGAGAGCATCTGCCAGGACTTTTCATTATCCCAGAAATGCTTCCCCAGAATGGCAGGCTGTTGGTTTTGATCAAATGGCCTTGCGAGCAACACACTCATGTTGATGTCCCTTAAAATTGAGATTTATTATTCCATGGCCTCCCTCTCAAATGAAGGTGCTCATTTGGAAGAGGGAAACCTTTGTCTAACCTGGATAGCACGTGGAGTTCAATTTTTAATGAAGACCGGCCCTGCCATAAGGCTGAGTGAGGCAGAGGATTCTGAATGTCATGAATTTTTACTTGCTTTTTTGGAAGCAAGCGGTTACTTATGGATTCATGTTGTCATTTTGTTTTTATCGTATTCCTGCTGGATGAGATGATTGTGGCATCTATTGCCTCGTGTGCCACAGTACATTGGCTGGCTCCGGGTACTAGGCGCCTTGATTTGTGTCGGTTGTGATATGCAGGGCATAGCCAAGATTCACTGCTCTGCTTCTGGCAGCAAAATGTCTTGGATCCTCCCTGGCTTTGGTGGGACATTAAGCTATTTAATGTGATCAGCTCTTTTGGGTAGCATTTTACATCTTGTGACATGTACGTTCTGTCTTACAATCTGCTGTTCCAGCTGAACAAAAAAGTGAGGGGGGGTCTGATAATCAAGGAGAAAGCCCAATATTCACGAAACCTCAGCTTGCTTGCTTTCATCTTTCAGTGTCTTGCATCTCTACATTCTAATTGAACCTTTAATTTGGCACTAATTCCCAGCAACGTGACTGGCCCTGTCATAGGCATGCATACAGGTTTTGTGGTGGCTGCTTTAGTAGCACCCACCAGGACTCCCGGAATTCCCAGCCAGCTTATCCATTGCCCATGTCGGCTGGAGGAATTCTGTGAGCAGTGTTCCAAAAAGACAACTCTGGTGAGCACTGCTGGCAGGCAAGGAAATCCTGGAAAGAGGAAAAGAAACATCTTTATCTCTTCCTGGCCCAGACCCTCTTCCTGAACTGTGCCAGCATAGCATGAACAGCATACTTTGGGGAGGCAAATTGCCCTAAGTTATGAAATCATGGTACAAATGCAGATATTTTCAGTCGCGTACTGAGTTGCAGAATTTCTTAAGTTGGGGCAATTTATCTCCAAAGATTATCCCATTTGTGTAGCTATATGAGAGGACTTTGGCCACAGACAGATGCTGTTATGTGCTGTCAAGTTGCTTCCAACTTGAAATGAATGACCTCGAAAAGATTGGTTCTTGCAAATTAATGACCATGGCTTCTTTTCTTGAGTCAATCGATCTCATGTTCAGTATTCCTCTTCTGCTGTTTTCAACTTTACCCAGCATCACTGTATTTTCCACTGAGTCTCCCCACCCCCCAAAGATACATTGACAATGGCACTGTGTTAAAATAGTGCATCTAGCTATATTAGCATTCTGTCATCTTCAGTCTGGTCCAGGAAGCAGAATGAAGCTCACAACAGAGTTTGAAAACGTTGCTCTTTTTTGGATTTCAACTTCCAGAATTTCCCACCCACTGGCCATTATAAAAATAAAAGTAACTTTTCAAGCTCTACTGTGGAGCATTGTGTAATTTTTGTGCTATTTCCCCTATCAGGTTGCTAAGCTATAAAAGGGTGGACTTGGGTACCGTCAATGCCACTCATTGCTGGACTGCTTTTGTCAGAACGTTACACAGTTTAAAAGAAATAGTATGCAATTCTTCAAATCTGCACACAGGTGAGGTTGGCAAATTCTATTTGCTAGCAATGTGACCTCAATGCAGGAAGTTTTAGAACAGTAACCTCCCCCTGACTTTCCACTGTTCAGTGAAAACCAGAATCAAATAGGACCTTAACCTTAATGTGACCTGCGGGAAATTACTGGAATCTGAAGCCAATCTTGTTCTTGCCCCATGTCTTCTGGTAGCCTCTTGGCAGCCATTGGCAATCACTTGCAACAGTAACTCTCTCAACACCGTTTTGTGCAGCATCTGTTTGCTGGCTGGGATCCATGTCTCTTCTGGTATATTTTATTTATAAAGGATCTTTTATCAGGAGATGAGGGCTTGTTGAACACCTATGGGCAGGGTGTCTTCTTACAAACCATTATGCGTTTTGCTTTTTTTCTGTTTTTTGCATGGTGTGGGGCGGTTTGCAAAAGCAAAGCGTACTGTCATTGTTTAACATGCTGCTATAAATTTGCAGCTGTCCTCGTTTTGGTCATCATCTAAAATACTCTGGAAATTAATAACATGTCTCTTTCTTGAGCTTTATTTAAAAAAAAAAACCAAGCAACAAGACGTAACAGGCATCAGAATATACTCAGATTTTTGGCGTTCTGGAAATACTCTGGGGGAACATTTAGTTTGCTTGTTTTTTAACCGGTATGTTGTTGAAAATCATGTGTATATTGCCCAGTTATTCTTCATTATTTTATTTTTCTTTAGTTGCTTTCATCACATTTTTTTAAAGGTAAGACATTGGACTACGTGTTTAGAGGTTTTTTTTTTAAAGGAACCTGTTTTTCTCAAATTTATTTCTTGAAAAGCTAGTCCTCACCTCATATGGTCCCTTTTATCTCCAGGTTTTCTTGAAGGGACTTTAGCAGATTCTCATGTTGTAATGTTCATCAGCAAGTTTGCAATGCAAAATTCAATCAGTGCAGCACTTGCGTGCATGCAGTTTATGCCCCACCATGTGTACAAAAGAAGATTTTACCCACTTCTGGTAAAAAAAAGTCTTAATTATCTCAACATTTTAATTTATTTTAAATTTTACCTATATTTCATATACGTCCATAATTTTGAATTGTACAATGCTCAGAAAGAAAGAAACAGAGAGAGAGAGAGAGAGAGAGAGAGAGACTGGTGTTCAATTTTCCGGTAAGGATTTGCCCTCTGAAATAACTGGTTAAAGCTTCTTATTCTAGTAGAGACTACTTGAGAGTAGAGAGAGAGAGAGAGAGAGAGAGAGACTGGTGTTCAATTTTCCGGTAAGGATTTGCCCTCTGAAATAACTGGTTAAAGCTTCTTATTCTAGTAGAGACTACTTGAGAGTCAAGCTGTGTTAGCTTCTATTTCTGACCAATAAAGTGGATCTTATTGAGAATCAACACACAAACTGCTCATGAGGAGTGAGGGAAAGTCAGTTCTTAATGCTCGTAATAGAAACCTGTGTCACATTTGTAGCCTTTTATAGTATTTTATAGGGACATAGTGGTGCTGTGGGTTAAACTGCTGAAGCCTCTGTGCTGTAAGGTCTATAGATCTTCAGCTGTAAGATCGAATCCACATGACGGAGTGAGCCCCAGTCGCTTGTCCCAGCTCCCGCCAACCTAGTGGTTCGAATGCATGCAAATACAAGTAGATAAATAGGTACCACCTCAGTGGGAAGGTAACAGCGTTCCGTGTCTAAGTCGCACTGGCCATGTGACCACGGAAGATTGTCTTTGGACAAACGCTGGCTCTATGGCTTGGAAACAGGAATGAGCACTGCCCCCCTAGAGTCGAGCACAACTGGACAAATTGTCAAGGGGAACCTTTACCCATAGTATTTTATATGATTTTGATTCGTTCCACTTCTCTCCTGCCTTTTCCCCCAGTGAGCTTGATAGAGCATACAAGGCTGTTGTCTTCCCTACTTCTATCAAAGCAACCTCGGAAGATGGTTGAGTCAGAACACAAACCTGGTCTCCTAAATCATAGTCCACACTCTAGCCAGTACAGCCTGCTCTAAGGAGAGGCTGGACAACTGGAGCACTGGGTTTTGTTGAGGGGTTTATTTAAAGCGGTACTTTTTGAACTTCATCTGGCAGAATCCTCCAGTCAGTAAGGTAATTTTCCTCCAGATCTTCCAAGCTTTGGTTTTAGAGAATTTTTTTTAAATGGCTGTTGAATGCAGGTATTTAAGGACATAGTCCTGCTGTAAGGCAAAGAGGATGAGCTGGGATGTGTTAGAGGACAAACCTGTTTGTGCTAAGTTTGCTAGGCTAACCTGTTGCTTCCAAATGCAGTGTGCAATTTCCTGTGGTGGATGTACACTTCCATAAACAAAAGAAAGAGGCTACATTTGCCTCAGACAGCCAAATAAATATCTTGGCCTTTTTCAGAAAAAAAGAAACCAGGTAGCATTCTTACACAGAGGGAATGGACAATAGAGAGGAAATACAAGAAATAGAGGTTTGTCCACGTTATATTTAATTTGTATGTTTTGAATGTATGAATTTCTCAAAGATATTGGACTGAAATACAGCTATTTTTAAAAAGAAAAAAATCAACATATTTTGTTAAGTGGGGCTCATAACACAGGAAATGAACCATTTTTCATTGTCAAGAATATGCCATGCCAGGAATAGAAACCTTTGACATTCCATCCTGTGGGACTACAGTTCCTATAATCCCTCAGCAAATCTGGCAAGGACTTCAGGGAGTTGAAGTCAAGCTGGCCAGAAAGTTTGCTTTCCCTGATTTACATTATCCCTCACTGGCTAGTATCTCTTTTAAGACGTCTTGCTGCAGAAGGTATGATGGGGTAGACAATGGAAGTATTCTAGATGAGATGATTATAGGCTTTGATCTTCAAAGGATCTCCTTGGTGTCCCATATAGAGCGGTTTGATTTCAAGGATCAGGAAAGCAGTTAAATATAAGGTTGTGCTGTGATGCAGAATCATGGTGAAATGGCTTTGAATCATCCCCAAAAATACCCCCAATTTGATCTAGATACTCGTGCGTTTATTGTTGTAGAAAATGGGCAGGTCTGGGATATAGGGGCACCATGCAAAACATATTTAGGAGTGTTTATCTTTAGCAGATATGTAATTTGTGTAACACAGTCCTGACCTTTTGTTTCAGCTGCAGTACGTAGTAATTGCCTTGCTTTGAGGTAAGCTTGTATTTACTGTCTGTTTTTATTTATTTTTAACAGCCTCTACAGAGAGTTCTCCCTAAACGTTACCAGCCTGTAAAGCTGCTGCCCTGCCACATGATACAGAAGTGAACTTTTCTTTCATGAAAAAATAAATAAATAGATAATACAGCGTAAGCAACAGCACTGCCGGAAAGAAGACAGCCACTGGAAAACTGGAGAATTCATCATTATGCTGGTCCATCTCGTCAAGAGGATAAACCCTGAGAAGTCTTGGTTTTCTTATGGAATTGAAACACGGTATATCATGCAACAGTGCTCTCCAGCTAGCTATTGATGGATCTTTTACACTGGAAAACTGATTCCAGTTTTCATCACTGTGCATAAACTTTGTGTTCCCATCAGGGGACTCTTGGTGACCTTCACCAAAAGTTCATGGGGGCATGTTTCATTTAGTTTTTTAGCATGGCAACTACTGGATAATATTATGTGTGAAGATGGCATGACGTTTTTAGGGGAGGGTGGGTGGGGAGGCTCAGATTTGCACAATCAGTGGACATGTTTGCAACTATCCTTATCCCTATCACCTGATAGGGAGACAGACATATTCTGTATGTGTAACTAATGCAGCTGAATGGTTTTCCATGTTATGATAACAGCATCCCATATGTGATCTCCATGCAGATGTTCTAGCAGATTTGATTGTGTTATGGGAACGTTTCTGAAAGCACATATTTTCAAAGTTTCAGGTAACTGCACCTTGGGATTATACTTTAAGTATATAGCTCACAGTATGCATAGATTCACTGATTCGTGCAAGGTTAGTTTGGTAATTTGTCTGGATGTTGTTATGGCTGTTTTGACACATGACTTGTAAAGGTAGTAGAACGAGAGCACGTAAGCTTCTTTGCTGCACTAACCTTCTGACATTACAAGTAGAACTATACTTCTGTTGTTGCAATGCATGTTAAATAATAGAGGAAAAGAAAATGCTAGGTACACAGATTGTTCTCTTGTTGCAAGAATCCCATGATGAAGACAGACCTAACATTAGGAGAACAGTTGGGCTAGTCTGGAAACATCCTCGCCACACTGACTACAAATATATGTTTTCCTGTATAAATTCTGAAAACCACTTCTGGTTTTCAGAATTTATACAGAAAAAAAAAGCTGATTGGCTAGTGCCAGTGACATCACTAGCACCACCACGTTATCTTCCATGGAGCAGCTTTTCAAAAGTTTGTAAATGCTTTCGAGTTTTTGATATTTTAAAAAAGGCAAAGGATGAAAATATAAATTAATAGACCTATATATGGTACCTTAGAGAAAATATGTATTTTTCTAAAAAGGCCTGTACCTCAGTCAAAACAGGACTAATTGCTGTTACAATGTTCGGTTTGCCGGTATATATGCAGTGACACATCTAGTGTAGGTGAGGAGTCTCTTTTGACCACTGTTGAAATGTTATGCCTGTCTTCACCACTAGAAGCAATTTGTGTCTATGATTGAGAGTAAGCATACTTGAAAAAAGAAATACTACCTTTCCCTTCTTTGTCTTTGTGTATATGGTGAAATTTTATGGATGATGACTTTGCACCTTTCGGAATGACACCTGCAAATGTTTGTAGGATAGTTAAAGGTAAGTAGCTGTCAAGACCTTCCTAGTCTTTTTGGAGGACAGAAGCCTTTGCTGAAGCAGTGTGTCACTTTCCCAAGTGTGTTACTAAACAATTCTGTCCAATGACATTGCTTCCGGTTGATGCCCGGTTTACTCCTGTGGTTCACTCTTTGCTTCAACCATTTGTCCCACATTATCTTCCAGTTCCTCTTTCATAAGCCTAACAGCTCACCAAACGTAGGTCACACATGTCAGATTACCAAGTCAACATTTCAAGAACCAAGGATACTTCAGCATTTCAAACAATGGAGTGTTAAGGGGACTGTCTATTGAGTTCCACAGAGCAATTGCATTTTGAGTCTGGCATAACTTCCTTGTTCCATTCAAGTCTCTTTTTTTTCTTGCTTTCAAAAATACTATCTTAAAAGAAAATGAAGTCAAATAGAACTGTTCACGTTCAACAAAACTGTAGCTGGCTCAAGACTGTTGCATCCAAAGTGAGCTTTTTCTTTACTGTTTCTAAGGCTGCCAAAGCTTAGCAGGCTGTAGCTTCATTTTCATATCCACGAACAGTCCAGATAATTTCTTTCTTTGGTTGCTTTTTGAAACATAACTGTTTGTAGCGAACAAGAGTAGCATCCATAGGAAATTCAAGACGTTCAACCTAGTAATCCCTCAGTGAAGTAATGGGAGATCTACAATTGATTTGTCTTTCAAACCTGATAGACTGTTAACGCTGTTGAGTAGCCTTGAATACATCTATCTGACATCATGGCTAAAAATTTCATATAATTTTTAAGTTGGGGCTTGCCAGTGGTAACAAATAGAATCTTGACTCTTATACCAGTTGAAGAAAACAGTTATTCTGCATTCCCACATGGCTTTTTTTCTTGGTAATCACTCATCTTTTTCTTCTTCGTATTGCTTATCATTATATTGCTTCTTCCTCTGACAATTCAAGTACAGTATGTGGTTTGGGCAAACCATAGAAAGCTAGCACCTGTACAGTTGCTAAATCAAGAGTCCATCTCATAAGCACAGCTTTAAGGTGGAGGCATACGATTTTTAATGGCTGTTCTGTTCCATAAAAGAAAACACACACATCTATATGCATGTACAAATCCATCTCATTTCCTTATGAGCTCAAGTCAAAGGCATTCATAAATTGCCAAGTCTTTGTTAAGTGTAATTATGAAGAACAAGAGTTATGTTGCTTGGCCCTATTTCCAGCATTAGGTGTGCACATTTCTGATCCGTATAAGAAAGATTTAGGACGTTCTGTTAGATTGACCTTTCAAATAGACTGCCATCCAGCACAGAATCCTATTGTCCCCTTGCATGATGCCCTGTGGCACAAATGGTAAAGGTTTTGTGGAGCTTGTGCAAAAAAGATATTCAGAACCGCCTTACACAAACATAAGCCCTGTTTAAATCCATTGGGCTGGTTTTTGGCTTGTGAAGTGCCATGCCAGAGATTTCAGAACCTGTCCTGGCATACCTGCATGCTTCATGCACACAGAACAAAGATTGTGACACAGACTTTTGGACTTCTGCTCCCATGATTTGTTACAACTGGCTATGTTGGCTGGAACTGAAGGGAGCTGCAGCCCAAAGCATTTGAAGAGGCTGTATTAAATGGAGGAGAGAATCTTTCCAGCATGTCTTGATCTGTGAAGATCGTGCTTCTTTCCATGGGGCGGAGGAGTTGCTTTATATTTAATTAAGCTCCAACAAGGAAGTTGCATCCTCAAGTAGTTTGCTTTGAAGAATGTTTTTCTGCTGCAGTGCTAAAACTGCCAGGTTAGAATACCATTATAAGAGATTAAATCTTGAGAAAGTTACCAACTGTCTGTTCTGAGTAGATTCTGGAATTACAATCTAGGAGAAGTATCTTTTCCAAGTTCAGGATGAAACTGCATGAAGGGACCACATATGGAAGAAACCAGGAAAGAGGAAGGACAATGGTTAGCAAAGGAATATATCAGAAATAATCAATTGCCATTCACTTCTTACGATACAGCTGCTGATACTAACTTTTGTTAGGGACCATATCTACAGACCAGTGCCTCAAACTATTATCAACTGTAGAGACAAACCTATTACTGTGTGCCTAGTGGAATTAGTGGTTCCCTTCCTGACTTCCTCAGCACTTTTCTCTTCCACCAGCAGCTGTTTGTTTTGTATACAAGCCTCCTAAAATTGTCAGTTTCTCTTGCTAATCTTTTCATAGAATCTCAATTAACTTATGAATTAAAATAATAATAACAATAAATAGCAGTGCTGGATCAGACCCAAAGATCTATCAAGCCCAGCATTCTGTTCCAACTGTGGTTAAGCAGTTGCCTCTGGGGCCTCCTGAAGATCTTCTTGTTTGTTTAGCTCCACCGTCTGGAATCCAGATGTCTGATAATCCTGATTTTCATCCTCAATTCTAGTAGGCTAGTGCCCGGAGACTTCATCCAAGAATGATGCTTCAGTGTAGCACTAAGAATGGGATCATGCATAGCTCACTAACAGAGCACAATCTTGGCATGCACAAGGTCCCAGGCTCAATCACCAGCATCTTAAGTTAAAAGTAACTCAGGTAGCAGGACTGGAGAAGAGCTTCTGCCTGGGGCCTTAGAGAAGTCCTGCAAGTTGGTAGAGATAGTTGTAGACTAGATGGACCAAATGTCTGATCCAACAGAAGATTGCTTAATATGTTTATTTAACATGGACCGAAATATAACTGTGCACACCAACTTGATCCATCACTTAATTAATTATAATAATAACGTTCTGTTTCTCAACAACAGTTAACACACACACACAAAATACAGAATTGCAGTCTTTTTTATTACGAGTTCATTTCAATATTTGAACATAGTAGCTGCAACTCACATCAACTTCCATTTAATCTTCTCAAAGATGATTCCATTAGCCTTTCCTTGTGGAATCTCTCTTTGTCATCAGTACAGCTCTCTTCTAAATTATTTCCAGTTTTGCATCATCTGTATTTGCCCTAATTGAACTTCTTTTCTGTATGTGGTCTTACAATGGTGCTTTTATTTTGCATTCATCATCTTGAGAATCTCCATGTTGACTTGCCTTCCAAGGATGTCTGCATTTCTAGCTTTTGATTAATATGTGCTACTGTTTCCAAAACGCATGTTCTCTGTTCATGTGAGGAGTTGACTGGGACTGTTGGGCAACGTCATGACCATGCTTTAACTGAGAGAGCACACACCCAATAGGGAAAGATAAGTAGTGGCATAATAAGCTGTTTTTCAGGGAATCATATCTGCCATTACTGATTGCCTCATTAACCTCCTGAAGAATTAGAGCACAACTGGAAATTACATCTTCCTGTTAGCCATTGTTTTTTGTTTAATGGTGATTTTATATATTCCTGGATTATTTAATTATCAAGATGTATAAAACTTTTAATGTATTGTTATATGGGCCTAGAATCTAAAGGTGTTCTCAGGTATTAACTTTGCCCAAACTGAGGTTCAACACTGCGTTGCTAAGACAAGAGCTACCAGTTTGCTTGCATTTTAGGGCTTTCCACCACATTTTTCAAAATGAAGATTTTTTTTGGCTGCATTTTCTTCCCTTCCACATTGTTATTTTGACTGTCTATTGCGACTCCTTGGGATACAGCCCAACCAAAATAAAGCCTTTCCAGATCTCATGAGTTTCGACAGGAGAGAATCACAGCTGGACCTCCAGACTTCCCACATTATGACAACTTTCCCCCATTTATTTTAAACAAAGGACCCCATACAACCTGTAGGGGTTTAAGAAGGTTAGTTTTGTCATCTTTTCACCCTCAGATTGGACCTGAAAGCGTACCCTCTTGCTAAATTGGAAGTGGCTTCTGGTTACTTCTGGTTTCAG